GTTGTTGTTGTTGTTGTTGTTGTTGTTGTTGTTGTTGTTGTTGTTGTTGTTGTTACACTACAATTGTATCACAGTGGCCAGTTGTTTCACCGGATTTGGCATTGGTTACTAGTCGGGCCCCACCCAGGGGCCTAGGACGTCATAACGTATTTTCGTAATATACGTGCAGATCCAAGCAGTGCAGCTTTTTGCATTTGACTGATGGAGATTTTGACAATTTTTAACTGTTTTTTATTATTATTATTATTATTATTATTATTATTATTATTATTATTATTATTATTATTATTATTAGGTATTTAAATTATTACCTGTCCATCTCCGATGGATTCTTCATTCAAGTCATTAAAAATGTTTAATAGACTGTAATTGTGGCATCCCACATACTTCAATCTAGTTTGATGAGGAATGAATTATGAGTATTCTTTAATAATTCAGATCAGCTGAATTGTCATGCCACCTAGTCCACACTTAATTGGCTTTTAAATCAGAATATTATGAGATGCTTTGTCAAATACTTTGTTGAAATCAGAATATATGATGTCTCAACATTCCCATAATTTTCAAAGAAAATTCTCAATCAATACATGAAATAAGGGTAGTATGCAAGTCTGGTTCTTAACAAATCCATAATGATTTTTGTTAGTAATTATTAGGTCAGTGCAGAGCAATGTAGATTCACTGTGATGAAATGACCCCCATACCATGAAGCTAATGTGAATTCATTTCATTAAAATAAAATAAAAAGGTACCTGGTTTACCTAAGCAAAGTACACTAGAAACCATTTCGGAACTTCACCTCAGGATAAGACTTGTCTCACCCTTTTCAACCTGTATTCACTGAAGTGCTTCCAGATTTGACAGCTTCAGGATTGCCCCCAGCAATTTTGGCAAAAGACCTGGAGGAATCTCCAAGCTGATTGCCTTTGAAATAAGTATCCTGCAGCTTTCACTGAAGCCATTCTGGAAATGTTTCAGCCAATATTCTAGCAGAAGGCTTCTGAAGAAGTCACTTAATAGTATTCTCCCATGGCTCAAACTCTGAGAGTGAAGGCTAAGAAAATCCTTGAATTGTAGGAAAATGAAGTCTCACAAGCCACATAAACTTTTAGCATTATTATGTGATTTTAGTGATATTTGTAAGAGTGTAAAGGAATTGCCTTGGGCCACATAAATATACACTATATACTTATTTTTTTTCTTTACACACACAATGCCTTTATTGCTAGTTTGTTGGAAAAAATCTAATAACAAACATGCATTTGGAAATTTTCTACATTTATGATCTATCCAATTATATGTAGAAGAAGCTGAGTGGGAAGGTGGGGTTAAATATGTCATCAGTTTGGAGTAATTGTGTTGTCACAAAATACCTAAGTCCAGTCCTTTCTCCTCCTCTCCCCCCAATGAATTCTGTTTATCCTTATTTCTCTTTGACCTTTAGTTGACTAGATTCTTGCCTTACAGGTAGCAATAATAAACTTTTCTGTGCTTTGAACTCAGTGAATGTCCCTAATTACTCACATTGGACATTATGTGAAATTTGAATTTTTTTTAAAGATAATAAAGTTGATGACATTGAAAACTTAAGGAATTTTGATGAACTATTTTTTTAGATTCTAAAACTGGTATATGCTATTCTTTAGAAATGTAAAGGTTCATAGCCAACTGTTCTTTTAAAGCTTAAGTGCCACAATTAAATGACCAAGACGCCTTACTTAAAGAAATTACTGTCTTGGTATTAAAGCAGTACTGAGCTTGGATTTCACCTTTTGCATTCAAGCACTCATACATGTCTCCCCCTCACAATTTTTTTGATATTAAACTGCTATTTCTATTACACAAGGATATAATGTAATATTATACAGTCCACGTTCACATTTGTTCACACTGTATGCAATCACTATTTTGTTTCTAATTGCTCAGACATGACCAAAATTTGTCCAAGCAGTATCCAAATGGAAAGTGACTTTTTAATATAACTAGATTATGCATAATGTGTTGTGGCTTTCTCTCCTTTTTCATGGGTCCATTTTATTGTCCTGAACCCTGTTGCTACTTTAATGTATGCTCAATCTTCACCATTTCCAAAAAACAAAAATGAGATGTTGTAAAGCTGTTGCTGTAAGACGATTTCCTATAAATTCTGTTTTTTCCTTAATATTAAGCTGATGGAGGCACATCTCTCTGAGAACTAAAAATTGGTTATTTTGTATAATGCATAGCTTACAGAAAAGAATATAGTAGGTCAAGTTTGAACTGTGGAGTCCTTGATGCTGTATTAACTTGATGGTTTATTTGCAGACATTTCATTGCAAAACTAGATAAAACACTAACAAACACTGATGGTGTTATCTAACTGGTAACATGTATTACTTAGTCAAGTAATGAAAAATGTACAAGCAAATGACCAAGTCAGAGAGCATCAGGAAGGCCAGAAATATTGAATTCAGCATTGTGGGATGTGGTTTATACATTAGTTTTTCTCCCAGCACTTTTTCCAAAGTAATAATTTGCACCCACTAACTACAAAACACAAATATAAAATGTCTGTGGGACTTTAATACTTTCCACTTAAATAAATAAATACAGACAGAAACTACTGAAACTGTGAACTTTGAAATAATCTTTCCCAATCTTTTGATAATAGATCTTTGTTTCACCAAATGAGTTGGAGCAGATTAAGGACAGGTAAAAAGTATTTGTTCACATTAAATGTATTATCAGTTTATGGGTTTTACTTTTCTGAAATATGTACTGTCTTTAAAAACACTATGGTGGACAAGTTTAGCACTAGGCTATTAGCATGATAACTGAGAGGTACATGTCTAGAAGCAATTTGAAGTCTACACACCATCCTTCTGATTTTCACATCATCTTTAACTACTCCATCAGGCCATTGTATATTTCACTTGTTTCATTTGCATTCTGTATTATTCACAAACATTCTTTGAAATATAAAATGGAGGCAGGATAATGGCACATAGTTTTCCTAATAAAATATCCAAAATACAAGGCAATGCATTGGAAAGTTACTTTCATTTGATGCAAAGACAAACTATTTTTCAGGGGTGACCAGAAACCAGATGTTTTATAGATTACAATATGCCACCACTTCTTTGCAGTCTTCCAATGACCAGGGGTGTATCTTGTAGTAATGTAGGGTAAATTGCTGTGTGGTAAGATTTAATATCTTAGTTTCAAATGATGAGAATGTACAATAAATATTTCTCCTTCATGACACCCTGTTTGTAAACTTTCCTGAAAGATATTAGCCCATTCTATGTTGGAAATAGAATGTTAGACTAGATCATCTTGTATCAATTTGATGGTTTTAGATTCCAGATTTTGGAACTTGTAGTTCAACATAACTGGAAAACACAGTCTGAAGAAGGCTGGACTAGAGAGACTGATATGATTTTCCATGTTTTTCCTTTATAAGTGTGATTTTCAGAATTTGAGCGGGGGGAACCCTATTATATGATGTCTGGATGCAAAGACAAGGCTCCTTATAGCTCACTAATGCAATCTTTTCAAGCTTGGAGGACAGAGTATACTAGTTCACAACCCAGATCAAGACATATAATAATGATTTGTGAATAACATGTAAGAGATGAGAACTAGCATTCAGGGTTTATTATGTTTTCCTATGAAATATGCTGATGCTTTGAAAACAATGGATTATGGATGGTTACAGAACATACAAGTTGGAGATTTGGCACATGTACCAAGCACAGCAAGGCATGTTACCTTGAGGGCATTAACCATCGCTTCAGGCTGCTGAGAAGATAAGGAGGCCTGTTCATTGAAGCTAGCTGGATGGTTCGGAGAACAGACATTCCCATCTGCCTCTGATGGCATCCTAATGGGATCCTTAGTAAAAAAAAATCAAAAGCTATTTAATGGTAAAAAGTAGGGCAAGCTAATTAAACAAAACAATTCCCATACCGACCCTTCCCATTTGTTTTAATTCCCATTGGGCAAATACAAAATCCCCACATATATACAATTCTAAAATGTGTATCCTAGTCCCTCATAACTGAAGATGTTCCTGGTGCAACAAATGGTCTTTGGGTGAAGTTTCTACACATTTTTGTCATATCGGGATAGTGTCAACCTTATCAGATAAACCAGATTAAGAAGCAGTTGTGTCTGCCTAAAGCTACTTTTATTAGAACAGTTGTAGCACAGTACATGACCTTTCAAGTTTGAATCTGCTTCCTTTCTTCCCTCTTTTATCTCCATGAGAATTGGAAGGGGAGGGGTCGTCCTGTCTGAGACATTTATATAAATCTCTTTCTTGATATGGGTTCAAACTACATTTATCTGATTGTTGCCTTGGTAACAAATCTTCCCACTATTCATCAAGACCATATCCTATAAGCTCTACAGATAACAACAAACCTTGATTAGTCTTAGGAACCAAAATTTCTAACTTCAGTCCAATACAAATTACAGCACATGTAAATCCTACTGCAAACAAGTTCAATTTAATATGCCTTATTAATTTTCACAAGATTTAAGCACAGCTGACTCCATCAAATTGAGACCCACTCTTTTATTTTCACAAACGCAACAAGACCACACTGTACTAATCTAATATACAGTATCCATCATCAGTAAGAGGAAAATGGGTTTACAGATCAGTCTCAGATCCAGTAACCTACACATTGTACATTTAAATGTCTGAACACAATCTCCATTTTCCAATGATTTTACTTGTTTTACACAAACCCCTCTGAAAGTAAAGTTCAAAATGCTTCCTGCAGTGTTGAAAGGAGTTCAAGGTGAAACTGCAGTTGCTGGGGCAACCTAATCCAGCCATTTGCTTTGGTAAAATGCTAAAAATATCCTTACTGCAAGGAAGGTAATAATAGCTTGGCTAGTCACAACCAAATCAAATCAGATCAGATTCTTCAGAGATGCTTGTGATATTATCAACCAGATTTGCCTCTCCCTCACCCTTCCATTTAATTAAAACACTGAGAAAAAACAATTGGGGGTGATGGAAAGCATACATCTTAATTACGGATTGTCTTAAATCAAAATGAACAATTTTTTCAGGCCAAGTGAGAGATATTTTTCCATATTGTAAGAATGAACAAATGCAATATTTTGACTCAATTATTTACAAGCTCAATTCTTGCAAGTTTTGTCACATCTTAAAACTGTTTGAATCTAGCTCCTGCCCATTAGATCTGTCGCTTTTTGTCTCCATAGCATTTTACGAGTTTGCCTAAGTGGTAAATGCCTTGTTCCATCCAATTGCTTAGTCGTTTTATTATGCAAGCTAAAACAAAGTTGTTCTTCTTTTTAATAAAACCCATTTTAAATCACAATGTAAGGCTAGGCATTATCTCAAAGGGCCAGATATATGTTACAGAGTTGATTTTCCTGTTGTTATCTCTATTATGCCCAGTTTATGGCTGAATAAATTCTCAGGCTGAGAGAGAGTTTCATTTCTATCACATGCTGTCTTCCACCCACCCCTGACCCTGGGAAGATGGTGGTGGCAGTGGCAAACTATTATACCAATGTAGCCAGACACTGTGCTGTGCGCCCCAGGAGAGGAGAGATGGAAACAAAAGGGGCAGGTGGAATAGTCAAGACCTTTTCACCCACAGCATGCCCTCAATATGTCAGCTATTCACTACTGTTGCTGTCAAACCCCCACAAGGCAGAAAATATGCTCAAATTCTACTTGAGTTGAGCTCCAAAGGGATTTGCAAAATGGTAAGCTATCACAACATTGTGTAAATGTCTCCTAAAATTGGTATCATAGATTCCTTTCACTCAGAAATTTCTTCCATCTATCACACAAACTCTCACACAAATATACTTGAAGCACTGTCAAAACAACTAAAATTACCAATATAAGAATGTACATGCTGGTTGAACTTCAGTGTAAAAAAGAAAAGTGTGTGTGTGTGTGTGCGTGCGTGCATGCGTGCGTATGTATGTATCTATGTATAAATATAAACAGGGGACGATATCTCTTCCATAATGAAATAATAATCTTTTTATGGGGAATGAGAGAAGAATAGTTTGATTAAGTTTAGCCTAGTTGGTTTTGGGTCAAGTATCTATTGGAGAATAATTGCAATGGTTGTTCAAAATCTGAGTAGCAGGAGGGCCGCTCAATCAAGCGATGGTCTGTAATTCTTATTACCTGCAGAGAAAGACTCACCATTTGTAAAGTGCAGGTGATAATGATCAATACAAGTTTGGTGCCAAAACATTATCTATAATTAATCCTTGTGCTTCTATATTCTGATACTAGAGTAGTAAGAAAGATTTTTTTAAAAAAATGTGGTTTTAAATATATATATTAAAAGATTGCATGATTTCATTTCATATGCAGAGCACATTGCTTTAGCAACACTTACAGGACTTTATACTCTCCAGACTAAAGTAATATTAATATTTATTAGAATTATTATTTAAACAATATTTGCTGCAGTAATATTTATCAAATTATTTGCCTTCAGGAAGATGTTAATTTATTTGCTAAATAGTAAGTCCTTGCTATTTTGTTGTTGTTGTTAGTTGTGATGTTGTGTTTAACCCATTGCAACCCCATGGACAACGTTCCTCCAGGCCTTCCTGTCCTCTACCATTCCCTGGAGTCCATTTAAGCTCACCCCGACTGCTTCAGTGACTCAAGTTATACAATATAGAAGGTTTTAATTCTTTTCTTGAGCAGCTGTAACAGTCATTATGTGGATGTCCTTATATATTTTTCTTAAATATTTATAAAATATAAATGGCTGCCTAATTAAAGCAGCATGGTTCTTCATGGTGCTTGCAGGGTACAAAAGAATTAACCAAAATATAGGAGAAAAATTAGACATGTCATTAAATAGAACTAAAATAATTCTAAAGGTGGGAAGTTCATTCAAAAGGGCAAGGGCCACCACCAGGAACTCAGACCTCTTGGGTCTAAGAAGATAATATTGTTTCAGAGAAGAGACTTAGAGCATAGTCCTATTGAACATAAGGGATAGGCAGATACCATTGGAGACAGAGGGCACTCACCAGTGAGTTTTAAAAGTGTTAACTAGCACTCTGAATTGCATCCAGAAGCCTATTGGGAGCTAGGTGGGGTGTTACAAACTCTAATGAGGCATACCCCAAACTACTGATGCCATTGTTCTGGACCAACTGAAACCAGTCTTCAAAAGCAGTACCATGTAGAGTATTTTGCAATAATCCAACTGGGAATTGTCTAAGGCATGAATGACATAAAATATCACTGGAGGAAGCTGAGGAATACCCTCCCTGCCTTCCTAGCTTCCTTCCTACCTACCCACCTACCTATCTACGACAGACAGAGGCTGAGTTAACTAATGATATGAAGCAATTCTTTATTAAATTATAAGTACATTAAGTTCTTGTTATCATCAAGTTACTTGAAGCCATTTTAAGGGATTGGGAAACTGGAAGCAGAGAAACATCCCTGAGGGAAATTTTGACAGGAAAAAATATATGCAACAGCTTAGTCATAATAGCATTCAAGGAAATCATTTTCATTTCTTTAGAGCTGACACTTAAAAACTCAGATTATGTCTGATATACTATATGTTCTGGAAAGTTAATTATTTTTCCTCAATCTTAAACTAGAGGAATATTTCTCCAGATTTTGAAGCAATTAAATCTCAGAAGCTCTAGCTAAAAGAAACCCAATTAGAAAGTCATAGGCAATTTCTCCTTTTTTTTCTGATGCTAATACCAGACTTCCCTACGCTGTTCCCCTCCAAATACATTAAACTTTAACTGCTGTACTACACCTACTAACCAGTAAGCGACTGGTGCTGGATTATAGTTCAGAATGTTAGTTCAGCATAGCTGGAGGGAGTAACTTTCTGAGAAATTGATGAGGCCAACAGCCTAATGCAAAATATTGAATGGAAGAAGAGACATTACCAAGGCAATGGTCAGATAAAAGGGGCCTGAACCTGGTCAACACAGTAACTTGCAAAACATCTCAGACAAGTTCCTCCCTAGTTTGAATGGAGATAAAAAAAGGGAGGGAGAAGCATATAGTTATAACTATAAACAGATTTTACTACTATATTTTTACAATAAAAATACTACTGAACCATGTGGCAGGGGTGAAATCAACTTACCGTCACTCGCTTTGCTCGCACGCGCCACCTCTGTGCTTGCGCAGAACCTTCCACGCATGCGCAGAGCATCAAAAACAGGACATGATGACATCTGGGTGTGTGGGTGGAGCCTCCCGCCACCAGCAATACCGGTTCACCTGAACCGGATAGAACTGGCTGAATTTCACCGCTGCCATGTGGTATTGGTTTCTTACTCTGGTCTACCTAATAAGGTGGACCGCTGAATAAAGAAACATTTTCTTCCTTACTCTGAATATTGCAGAGTTACGCAGCTGCAATCTATCCTAGTGCAAGATGATTGGAAAGAGACAATCCCAATTCTACTGTAGTAAATCACTGGAGAGGCAGCCTCAACTCAAGAGATTCAACTGAGCTTTCTTGCATTTCATTAACGTATGCCTCACACCTCTCCAGCATACTGCTTGAGAAAAGCAAATCTGAACCTTTGTACCGTAATGTACAAAAGTTTATATCAAAAGTAAAACAAACATTTCTCCAGCTCTGAAGCATTGCTGTTTTAAAAATGAGATTTTTTTTTAAACTGTAATCAATAAGGACTGGAACAAGTGCAAAATCCAATGTTATGTGTCCAGTTCATTGTCTTGGATGATATCTCGTTTGTCATCTTGCTTCTTTCAGAGAATGTCAGGCTGGCTGCCACTTCCCCCAGCAATTTCCCCTTGACAAGCAAGAACAGCCAAAGCCCAGAGAGTAGGAGGGAATACATCAGTATCCTGAGGACAGGCA